GAGTATTTCTGTAGATGACAGCAGTCTGACTTGTGCTGGAAGTCTGAAGTGTACAGCGTGAACAGGAATGACGTGAGCCATTTAGAGATAGGAGTGTATTCAAAACATCACTCCGTGAAATTTCAGAAAATGAAAATTGCTTTGAAGTGTCAGGATATTTAAATAACTTTAAACTATTAGCTTGTCCCGGTAATGATGTCCTTACTGAAGAAATAAAATATTCATTAAATAAGTTAGCAATTTTTTCATGATCTGAAACAAGAAGTCCATTTACTGAGATTTTTGAATTGTTATTAAATGTTTTATTGTTACTTTCACCTGTCACTGACTTAATCGTTTCCCATAATTTTTTGGATTCTTACCGGCTGAAATAATTTGATTTTTAAAAAATTGTTTGGTTTTGCGTAATTCAGCAACACATTTATTTCAGTAACTGTTTAAACGAGACCGATTTTCAGAAGTTTTTGATATTGCAATATTTCAGTGAATCTATATTTTCTTCACCCCTATCAGACACGTGGTGCTACTGGAGCTGAGGGTTAGATCAGCACAGAGATGGAGAAACTAAAGCTGGGATGAACAGCTTGACGGTGTAGTTCGAGAAACAAACAGGATCACCTTTAGTCTTGTTCTTGTTCTGATCTGTCAGATGATCCGTTCTGGTCCTGGTGATCAGCTCAACATTTGATGCAGCATACACCTGAGGGGAGACATTTAACATAAAAAAAATATAAAAAAAATGTGTTTGTTTTTGTCTGTTGCCACCTATCAAAAATGTACAAAAACACACCCAGAGTCAGTGTCTAACCTCATATTTTGTGTTTTATTACATTACCAAACGTGAGTCTGCAAAGCAACATTTTACTTTTCACATCAGAAAACAAGAGTTCATCCCCGGTCAGCATAAAAATAAAACTCCAAATAAATTATTGAAAATGCTGCTGATTGTGAACTGGAGACTAAAACACCCAGAGTGGAGCAGCTTTGTGTTGGCACTCTATAAAGACAAAGATGGAAAAGAAATATAAAAGAAACAATAATCTGTATTTTACTAAAAACTGGTCGATTATTGTATTGATGCTAACATTATCATATGAACATTACAAACATTGTATATTTGCAAAGAGGGTCTCAACTTTACAGTATTTAAATGTTTTTTTTTTCTTGTTTCAGTTTTACATTCACATGAAAAACACCATTACTGAAGCCCCAAAATGGTATTTTTCACAAATGTTCCAAACTTACCTTTTTGATGAGTGGAGTCATTGCTCCACTTCTAATCTAACCTACGACCCAAGGGGCATCCTCTTTTTCTCGTTTTTAAAATTTCACATCTGGTTTTATGGACACGTAACACGCCTTGTTTCCTGTTTTGAGTGTATTTTAATGGGGTTGTTGCAGCGCCACACACAGGCCTGGCTCAGTTACTACAGAATGTTGGGTCATATTTTGTGAGTCCATATTGAAGAAGACTACAAACAATGTCAAGTTTTATAT